CTCTCTCTCTCTCTCTCTCTCTCTCTCTCTCTCTCTCTCTCTCTCTCACTTTCTCTAAGTATAAAATGAGTGAGTGAAGTTGCCCTATAAAGTCAATCACCCGCCTCAATGTTCTAATTAGATGCTCCCTAAGGGGAGTGTAAAATAATCCTATCAATGGTATTTTCAAATATTTTAGCTCGTCTATTTATTCTGACTTTTATTCCTCGAAGGAAAGCCAAATAAAGACAATTTCAGAAATACCCAAATTATATTTCTATAGGGGAAACTGCCAGCTTGCAAAAGTGAGCTCTACAGGAGTAATGGATTCTAGGTGTGACTTCAGAAGGGAATAGCAGTCACCTTCATAGATGTGTTTGCCCACACATGGTGCCAGAGGAATGCAGTCTTCCTAACTCCTTTCATCTCTTCGCTTTCTTTAATTTATGCATTCCACCCTGAAGTCCACCACAGGTGCTGAGTCTCCATCAAAGCCTATGAAACTTCCAGGGATCTAAAAGTACCAGAATCCTGAGATGTCCAGAATGGTTCCAGGTTTGAAAAGAAAAACAATGATCCTCCATAGCCATTGGTAGCCTACCCTCGAAATTCAAACGTGAGAAAAAGGAGGTGAGAGATAGATGCACAGCAACCTACTTCAGATCGACTTGTGGGGTGATGTGAAAAGAAGCAAGGTGTGTCCTGAGTTCTGGTCACAAGTTTGGAATGTGCAAAGAAAAGTGCAGAAGTGGAAACGTGAAATGTGAACCTGGAGAGGAAAAATATAGCCACCTAAATGCTGACTCGATGAACTGGTTCCTCCTTCCCAGTTATCACTGACATTAGGTGGTTCAAATCAGGAAGAGCTGGGATGAGGCAAAGAGTAGAAGTAGTCAGTTTTAGAAGAGAGGTAGCATTCACGTTAGATCTGTCTGGAGTAGTTGCAAGCATTTATCAAAGTCTTTCAGTCGATTTCCAACATTTTCTCCCAAAGCTTCAGGCAGAAGAAACACAGGTGAAATGATGTCCTATTTTTCTCTCCCCTTCTTGTGACTTCCAGAAACCACTCAGTTATCATTGCCTTAATTAATATTTTGAATAGATGTTAATGCCCTAATGGCCCGGGCAGTGTCATTTCTGTAAACTCCATCTTAACTTCTCAAAATCTATTTAATGCAGCTCTTGGCAACCAAAAACCCACCTTCTTGCCAACAACTGCAGATTATGCATTCGTTATGGGAGTTTGCCATTAGCTGCTTCCTCTGTTATGGGCACATGTGGTTGCGTGTCACAAAACACAAGGGGTTGCGTGTAATAGATTTGAATTTCCAGGAGGTTTCGGGAGTCTGAAGCGGGGAGGGTGACACCTTTACCCCACCCTTTCAACCACTTCAATCAGAAGTGAGCTTGGGTAATGGGGTGGAAAAGGCTTCTAGGCACCAGTGGACCTGGGCTACACTGCAGTTTCCTGGAATTGGGACTTCTATTGGTATACAAGTCCTGGAGAGCACGTATCATATGTCTTTGATTTAAAAGACACCGAATGTTTTTCAGGGAATTTGGAGCCCCTAAAACGCATATTTATAAACAGACCGACATAGCTGTACGGCAGAGCTAAGTTTATAACTAGGAATTCTCGGCATAGTTCTTCATCAGTAATGGGAGCGCTTGCTGCTGTGAATATCTGAAAGACCCAAGAAACGTCTATTTTTTCGTCTTTCCCGTGTTTATTAGGGTAAAGCATGATTTGAAAATATCTAGAGGTAAGATATAGTAAAAAGAGAGAGGTGAGATCCCGCAAAATCATCAAGCCAACAAACTCAATCTACCTCCCCCACATGGAACAATCAGAAGAACACAGCATCTCTTTTTGTAAGCAAGACTTCCCGCACACATTTCCTGGGTCTTTCCTCCCCTCTTCCACTCCCTCCAGCTAAGGTGAAGCAACTCTGGCCTCACATAGTAGAGAATGCCCAGCTTGGAGTCCTGACTACCTTTTCCACTAAAGTGCTGTACCCAGGGTGTTTTTCTTTGACTACTCTTGAGATTCCTCACTTTGCCTTTGGTGCTAAAGCTCCGGGGACAACAATTAAGAACTAATAGAAGGTGTCAAAAGGCAGAACAGTGTCTACTCGTGGGAGCTGAGCAAATCTCCACAGGAGCCCCTCCTTGGGAGAACTGCCTGTAGTGGATAACAGGCACTGCGAATATGAACGCTGCTCCTGACTCTTCTGCTCCGGTTCCCTCCGATGAAATTTGCATTTTCAGTGCCAGCCACGCCTTTGGGACAGTGCATAACAGCAGTTCTGGCGCACACAGTGCCGGGAATCTTCCCAAGTTTGGCCAGGATGGGCATCCAAGAGAGTCTCACCTGTGAGGCATGGGTCAGAAAAATTCCGAAGAACGTGGAAATCCGAACCCTTGCTAATGGGCATCCTTCTGAACTGGGCTAGGCCACCGGCTGCGGCAGGGGTGCCCCCGAAGTGTCCGGGACTCTTGCGAAAGTAACCTGGAGAAAATGACACCCGCTGGGAAGGCCTGTGATGAGAAAGGCCGTGTCAGGACCGGTGAGCAGTGACCTCCCTCGTCCACAGTTTGTAGGGGGGCTTCACCAAATTTGTAAGCTTCAGTGATCTATTGCAAATGGCTGCTTGTATGTGCCAAGGCAATGAACACTTTTACCTCATTCGCCCCGGGTTCCTCAGAAGATTCGGGCACAAGGCCAAGCAGAATGGTTTGCAGCTCTAAAACGCTGTTTTCACATGCCCTAGCATCTTCTTCAGCTGGACCAAAGGTTCTGGGCCTGCAACTTCGCCCCAACAGCAATCCTGGGAGCCACTAACTTCCCCACCCCTTTACCAAGGCGCTGCCCCAACTCTTGAAAACTTCAAGTAGTAAGGGTTTTGTTAAAACACTCTGAAGGCCTTCACACACACACACACACACACACACACACACACACACACACCACACACTAACAATACTTTGTGTGATGAGCCTTTCTCTGACCTCCAGTAAGAACGGGCTCGGGCTTTTCGGAGACACTTGTCTTTATGAATTTTCTGAAGAAATAATTTGGTTCTTAATGATTACCGCGTGAACTAAGCGAAAGGTGGGGAAACTGACTGGCATTGGAAAAATTAGGTCTTTTTAAGGACTCTTACAACCTCCCATTCCTACCTGAATGCCACCGCATCCACAAGCCCCTACATCCCACAGCAAACTTGGAGACCAGGGCCTTGGCTAGCGCTCCTGCCACGGCGCCAGCCTTCTAGGTTAGAGGCAACCCCGGCCCCTCTACCACCAGCAACCCAGTTCACAGCTGCCGCTGTATCCGGCTTCTTGGGCTCAGATTCATGTGAATCTTCCACGTAAACGATTTACGGATGAAATAAAAGCTCTTTAGAGCAATACTTCCTTTCAAGTTCTTAAGATGCCTCTAAATCTTCTGGGAGTGAGTGGCTGGCGTGGGGGCGGGGAAGACAGCGGGTGTTGGGGGGTGGAGGGTGGGATGGCCCGGCAGGGCGCTGGGAGTGGAGGGTTAACCACTGTGCATTCTCACCAGGCTCCTCCGCAATGCCAGTCCACTGTTGAGGCGATTACGTTTTCTGGGTGTCGGGGCCTTGTCTCTCCTGGCATTTGTCTGAAATGGAGCTGTCTGTCTGAACCAGGCCGGGGCGCGCCCTGCCCTGGGTGGGTGAGTAGGGAAGATGGGGGTGGGGTGGGGGAGAAGGGGGGGCCCTGGGGTGGAGTTAGTCCCTGCCTATTTTCATATTCATTAGGGCTGGGAGGTTGCCGGAGGAGCCCAGCTGAGTTTCAAGATATAAAAGCAACTTCGGGTGTCCCTTCTGCAGCCGGGACGTATTAAGAGGCTGGGAGCTGGGCAGCTCCTGGCGTCGCGGGGCTCGCTTCCCTTTCCCTCCTCTCTGACCCTCCCTCCTCCCGCCCACTGCTCCCTCCTCCCTCAGCGCCCTCCAGCCTGCGCGCCCCGAGAACCCGCGGACAGTCTTCCCGGATTATGGAGTTTCTGAGTGAGAAGTTTGCCCTGAAAAGTCCGCCAAGTAAAAACAGTGACTTTTACATGGGCACAGGAGGCGCGTTGGAGCACGTTATGGAGACCCTGGACAATGAGTCCTTTTACGGCAAAGCAACGGCAGGCAAATGCGTGCAGGCCTTCGGGCCGCTGCCGAGAGCTGAGCATCACGTGCGCCTGGACAGGACCTCGCCCTGTCAGGACAGCAGCGGTAAGTCACCAGGGCCGAGCTCCAGCCCCAACCCCATCCTTTATCCTTAGTTCCGGGTGGCCGGGCCGGGGCCCCAGCCTTAGAACCAGCATCAGTTGTCCTTCCCCCAAAGTGCTGTGCTCTGCGGGATCGTAGCGAAGAAATGCGGGAGCATGGATCCAGACTGTGGGGGGGACCAAAGGAGGCAGCCTGGAGCCCCGCACTTTCTCACGCTTTGGTACTCCAGCACCACACCCGGGTCCAGGGCTAAATCTTGAGCGACTCCCCTGTCTCCCCCACCCCCCGTTCCGCTCTCCAAGAGACTCTAAAACTGGACGGAGCCAGAACCCCAGTATAGATAAAAAGATAGTATTTGAGTCAAGATAGCCCACCTCCTTGGGATCCGCGTCCCTCCGGGATGCCAGGGTGCAAGGAAGTAAAATCTATCACTGGATGTCACAGTGGTCTGGAAATCAAAAATCTTTGAACTCTTTTAGGTAGGGGAAAAATAAAACCAAAGTTGGCTTTATTGTCTAAGACGTGATGATATTTTCAATGTCAAGATGCTGTATTTATTTCCGTTGCTCTGCATTAGCTTTGTGTGCGCTCCTGATTTGTGCGGATTTTATTTACTTATTTATTGCGTTTGTAACCTGCAAACACAAATTCTTCTTAAACATCAAGTCACATTGGCTTTAAGCAAAGCATTCCCGACAACAGCATTCGCATTCGGGTTCTGCGTTGTCTACTTTTATCTTACTCCACATAAAAATGCCACCTAAAGAGCCTTTCGGAATGCTTCTGGACAGAATCTTCAACTTTGAATGCCAGAGTATCTCCAAGTCAAAATGTTATCAAAACAAACCATCTATCTCTTTCTATCTTGTAGCTCCGTACAGACCGATCATTTCACATCCCAACAGCTAAAGCAGGTTTATGATTCCAAGAGGACTTTTTCTTATCAAAGTGTATACTCCACCCCTAAGCTGTGAGGAGCGGGCTGCGTTAAAATAACAAACGAATTAAGTGTGAAATATTTACAACAAGCCTCCGCCTTCTATTTTCATGGAAGTTCAATATCTGGCAAGGCATTTACTCTTTCGGCAGCTTCATCGTTCGATACTTTGTACGCAGATTTTAAACGAATCTCTCAACCCACTAATTTTATTCAGTGCGGAGGGCGACTTTTTACCTGTTCTGTTATAACAAAAAAACTGCACACGATAGAGAACAGTATTACTGAAGTGGATTCAGCCTTTTATTTGGAAAGACGGGAACAACTAATTTTTACATACAAGAAAGTTTTGACTTCTTGGCTGCATTTCGGCGGACGCGTCTGTGTTTTCGGCGTTTTCAGATGCGTGCATGAAGCCATTTGAACTGACAGGATTTTTCCAAATGGTTTTATAGTGGCCTGCGCTGACTGTTAGATAAATTCCACTGTGTTTTAAATTGTCGGGGAAAGGGGAGAGAGAAACGGTGATTGATTTGGAGTGCTTCATTAACTTTTTTTTTTTTAAGCGATCGTCTCACTGTTTGGAAGAATTTTAACGGAGAAATAATGAACAAAATGAACACGGATGGTTACCGGCTACATCTGAGAAAAAAAAGAAGCCAGTCTTAGTCCAGACCTGCCCCCAGCGTCTTGCGGCTTCCCCTCCCCCAACTCTAATTGCCGCAGTTCCCGACTTAACTCTTGTCTGCTAAGACAAAACCTTATTGTTCATCAGTCTTAACCCTCTTCATATTTAATTTTACATCGCATCTTTCTTTGCTTAAGATCAATGTGCAATTTAAATTATATAGACAGTAAGATTCAATACATTTGTAGAACTCACGAAAAGGTTCTTCAAACAGTTATGGGGCGTACCACCCCTCCCACCCAGCCCCCACCCCCTTTTAAAGAAGCAAATGAAAAAAGTACAATCAGTGGTTGGGAGTTAGTGTTCTGATTGGATTGTCTTTGTTTTTCTTACAAGACAACAACAACAACAACACAAACCCCAAATCGCTCCTGCTTCCTATATTCATGGTATTTGTTTATTAATTTTAGCATTAGAATTAGTTTGCTATATTGCAAACCTGAACTCTACAATCTCAACAACATCATTGAAATTAAAATAACTCTTGACAGAATGCAAAACGCCATTTTAAATTGTACTTTGTCTTTGTAATTTTCATTTCTGAGCGTTCCTAGAGAAAACAAAAAAGAAAAAAAAGATCTTCTGACCTAAGCAGACACGAGTTAAAGGAAAGGGAAGTATGAAATATTTAAGGGATGCAAGACGTTTTTAACGTAAAGATGAGTTCACTTAAATCTTATACATTTCTATTTAAAAACACTTTCAGAATTTCAGCTAAGAATTTTTTTTAAAAAAATTAGTAGATCGCTTTCTGAATGAAATTTAAATTCATACACGAGTTCAAATGTGTGAGTTGTAATAGAAATCATTTCCAATGGAAATCTCTACTCAGCATCATTTTGTGTGGGGTGGGAGATAGATTTGATGTTAGTAGATAGGTATTATTTAAACTTGAAATGTCACTTTTTTGAAAATCCGTAGTTTAATTTTGTCTTATGTACAAAATAAAAGTATATGCTATATGCTTTATACATATTTCAAGAGTCAAGGTTGTTTAGATATTTTTTTAAGTCTGGAGCAAATTTTCACTTGACTATTTTAATCTGATTATAAATTCTATGCATAAACAGTACATTTGCCATATAAAACAGTTTTATGGACTCTGGCAAATCATAAATCCATGTACATATTTATAACTGTTTTTAAGCCTGATTAACAGTGAATTAATAATTATGTCCTGCACACCGTGTGATGATAGAATACTAGTAAAATATTAGCAAGCCTGTTTCCTGGTGCTTGAAATTAGTTCGCGTTAGTTATTTCATCAAAGTATCTTTTACTCTCCTGAGAATTCCTGTTCTCCCTTCCGAGTACAGTGAACTACGGGATCACCAAAGTAGAAGGACAGCCCCTTCACACCGAGCTGAATCGAGCAATGGACAGCTGCAACAGCCTCAGGATGTCTCCGGTGAAAGAGATGCCAGAGAAGGGCGAACTGGACGAACTTGGGGACAAATGCGACAGCAACGTCTCCAGCAGCAAGAAGAGGAGACACAGAACTACCTTCACCAGCTTGCAGCTGGAGGAACTCGAAAAGGTCTTCCAAAAAACCCATTACCCGGATGTATATGTCAGAGAACAGCTCGCACTGAGAACAGAGCTCACTGAGGCCAGGGTCCAGGTAGGTTCCAGAAGGTGGCCTTTCAGGGAGGGCAAATATAAGAATAAGAATTCTTATTTGGACCAAAGTGATGTGGGAGCAAACTGGCCCATTAAAATTTCATTTTGCTTGTACTAATTTTGACCCTCACTAAGCTGAGGGACCAGAACTATCCAGAAACTTAAAAATGAAGTCATTGAAAAGAACAGAAAATAGTACCATATCGCTGATTATTAAAAGATAAACTTAAAAGGCAAAACCCAAATTTTATAGTTGCCTTTAGTCAATAAGTAAATATATCTAATTTATATCTTTGATTTATTTTCAAATATTATGATTTTGTTTTTTTAATTATATATGAATTGTTGGCAAACTATTCATCTACTAGCCCATGAATCAAAATCTTTCTTTTGGTTGGAATTATTCTGATGGAAAAAAATGAAATAACAATACTAACTCTAAATAATTATGTATAGTAATAAAATTTAAGAAATGTAAAATGATTCATTTAGAATTTTTTTGCCCCAACCATTTTAAATACATACCATTTTATTTGCTTTTTAAGGTCTAGGTAAGTGTACAGATTTTTTTCAGTAATTACTAATTACTAACAAAGTACTTCAAATATTTTTATGTACTTGATTATTTTTCTTAACTATTTAGTCAAATGATTAAACCAGAAGTTGCGATAAATGTAAGTTCTTGTAAAAGAGAATTAAAAGAAAAAATTATACTGGCTAAAATGTTACCTGCCTTCTCAGCAGTATTTTATTGTGGCTAAAACTGATATTTTTAAATTACACTTTATTAGTTGTTAAGTAATAAGTACAAATTTGAAAGGCAACAATAATTCAAAACGCATTTTCTTCTTTATATATACTTTTACTACATTATTGAATTTCTTTTCTCTTCAATTATTGAAAGAGAAAGATGAATAAATTGTGATTTTTTTCCTTTGTTAATGAAGTTAGTTTTACTTTGTATGGTCCATTTGTCATTTCTGACCACATGGGGTGACTCAGGGATAACAGACAGAAGGTTATGCTTAACATTCTTGAAGCAATGGGTGATTCTATCTTAGTTCAGAACAAAAAAAAAACATAGAAAGTTTGCACTAATGAAGAACATTAGAACTGTCTGGTATTAACACCAGTCCTGCATGTGATTTTGTCCTGTGACTGTTATTTAAATTAGTTATACTTGTTACCATAGAAAAATATGTTTACATGCAGACTGATTAGCTGTTGCCTGCATATTTCCCCTTCAGAACAGATCCCTATCTGTTTGAGGACATGCAGAGAGAGCCAACCTGACCCGCATTAGTGCAGGTTATGCATTTTACAGGAGTGTGGAAATCTATGCCCATTTTAAAGACTGTCACAGAGCAGGGGAGAAGACAGAAACCATTTATGATTTTCAGTGGAGTCTTTGTGCTTCACAGAAAAATATGTGTTCTCCCCGTATTTTCTCAGAGCCCAGTAGTGATGGCACTCTTTGGTATTAGCAATGTAACTTGAGAATGATACTTAACAGGTAGCTATTGAAAAACTTGCTGTGATTTCAGAACACTATTCAAACCATAACCCGCAATATATGTGTAGGTCTTGAACCGAATATTAATAGACAGCGAAGGCTCTGATGGTATAAAATATACAAAATTAGAACTTAATATTTGAAAACTGTATGCAAATTTAAAGTAAAATTTAGTGAAAAAATTTTGTAATTCATATTTATTAATACTTGATTTCCAATATCTTTCTGAACCATTTAGAGTCTGCATGTAGTTATATAAAGAAGATTGAGTGATTCCTGGATGCTGCCAAGATGGTGCTAACTCAAAAATATCAAAGTCTTGGTTTAAAATATAATTTTCTGTTTCTCCTTTTAGAATACTGCAATATTAGAATTTAAAAAATTCAAGAGCAAGGCATGAGAAATAAGGATTCCTCTCAGGGATACCGTTGTGTGGATGAGGATTTCTAACACATAATTTGGGAAACCATGAAAGGCATTTAATAACCTGGGAGAAGCAGACGAAGTCACAGGCATACGTGACACATGGTTCTGTCTGCCTCCCTGATTTTACAATCTATAAGTGTTTTAAATTGGGTCTAAGGAGTGCAGGTATGTGTTTTAAAACCACAGTTTAGCATCAGCTGATTCACTTCAAGGAGCAGCCCTACGAGGCTCCACAGAATATGACACCTTATTTTCCTGTTTCTAAGTAATCAAGGTATTACTGTTGCCAGTCACTTTAGACAAAGTATCATTCTTTAACTTTTGTGAGGTCATTTGAGTATAGCTTCATCTCAGAAGGGGCTTCTGTTTATGACACATTTTCAAGAAAATTTGCCCATAGACAAAGGTGATAACCGGGTTATGAATTGGCTGGAGGGAAAAAAGGAATGGGATATTGTCTCTCTCCGGCTCACTAAATCCACTTGGAGGATGATGACCTATAACAGCAAGAATGTTCCTATGAACAAATTCCCTTTTTATTTTTCCACATATAAAAACGCAGGTACAGATACGTAAAGTAACTTGTCTAGAACCCCACTCTTTCTACTAAGTTACGTTACCTCACGGACATACCATGCCTCCTATCGGAATCCAAGACAACGGGAAACATGCGAATCCTGTTCTGATGAAAGGAGAGTCCTTCACCGTTATTTTGTACTGACTTGGTCTTCCTTTCTGGCGTGAAAATTGTAATGTCAAATTTGCTTTACCGAATGTTCTTCAGCTAAAATTATACTCTTTTGAAAAAACACACTAGGTTTGGTTTCAAAATCGAAGGGCCAAGTGGAGAAAAAGAGAACGTTACGGTCAAATCCAGCAAGCTAAAAGCCATTTTGCGGCTACCTACGACATATCAGTTTTACCGAGAACGGACAGCTACCCGCAGGTATGGTCAATGACACAGAAGGCTGTCTCCTCAAGGAGAGTGGGTGTGGTGTGACTGGACTCGGAGGGTGACCTTAGGGCTGGCTAGATAGAGGACAATAGTGAAGCGTGAAACTTTGACCTCCAGAAAACTCATGCCATGCTTAACACATTTTTATTTACTAAATTATTTTTCTATTTCTTTCTTTCAGAGTCATTCACAGAAAAATGTTCCATGGTCTGTGCCTTTGGGGTTTCTTTTGGGAGGGGCTTGTTATAAATTGAAAAAAAAAGAAATAGTATTTAATGATATGTCTTAATATTATTGAGCATTTTAATTATCCAGGCTACATAGTTCATTAGATTAAAAAAATGTGTTGCCTGTCATAAAATCTCCCTGGCCATAATTTTGTGCAATATACAAAGTGCTGCTGTCAAACGTGACCTTTTACTTCTCAACTTTTTAAAAAACCTTATTTTTTTTTTTACCAATCTGTTTTTTTCAGATTTGATGTCATTCATTGTTTCAAGAGCACATTCAGTACTTTGCAATCTGTAGACATATTTATAAAAGTCATCATCCATAAGATTTTTTTTATAATGGGAACTCTCTAATCACATCTCACTTTTTCTTTTTAATCAATAATGTTTCTTCTTTTTCACAACTGGAATATGCATGCCTGTGTTTTCTCATCTTCAAATCTATCATAGTATATATTTTTTAATGTGAAATAATGATATTCTGTGCTGCTTTGTTGATGCTTGAGAGGGGTAATGGAGATTGTCTGGTGCAAGCTGTGTGTTGTTTTATGCCTTGTTACTTATTGATCCATGCTTTCTGAGATACCGCTATGGAAACAATATGAAATGTATCCTGGATAAACATTTTGATATTCCAGGAACAAGATTATCTCAGCTAGGACTGTGAGAATAGCCATTCTGTTCAACTGTAAATTCGCACCCCCACCCCCCATGTGAGTTCAGTCCTCTAGTGATAATATTCTTTTGTCTTTAAAATATCTTTGAAAAGAATTTGGCGAACTTCCCATTTGCATTTAATTCTTTAAATTTATTGTGTCCCTTTGCACACTGAAAAAGAGGGTCAGAGAGTACCAAGTTTAGCTCCCTCATTTTAGGAGAAGCAAGCCTAGTTATGCCAGGGAGTTGGCCCATGAGCCCATCGATGGTTTCCTATAGGGCAGACACTGAGCAACTGCTAGGGCTCAGGCTTTCCCCAGCAGGATTCAAGAGGCCAGTATTATGGAAATGTTTTGAATTATTGCCACAGTCCTCCATTAGTATATCTTATGTCCTTTCAAACTTATCTGGAATCAGTTCCTTTACTCCTACCTGGTTTAAACCCTGGCTATCATTTGCTCTCTGATTGCCAGAGAGCTTGGGAAATTTCATTAACCTCACAGTTTTCACGTGACAGTTGATTTTTCTTTTAACAAAATCTTATAAAGACGGTTCTACTCTGGATTGTAAGCTCTGCCATACCTTATAGTTTTTATCACTTCCTGACCCTTATGAACGGTCCAGGCCATGTCCTAAATGGGTTAAATAAGGACTTATTTAGTCAAAGTAACAGCCATCTATAATGCATATTAATGTTCTTCATTTCTCTCAAAGAAAATGTGAGGCAGTGAAATAGGAGGTATACATTTACTTTCACTTGTGATAAAACCCAAATTTAACCAGAATCATGTTCAGCTCACTCGCACAAGATCTTTCTGAAAACACATTACTTAAAGAATTTATTAGAATGCTATATTCATATTACATCATTCCTACCTTGCCCTCCAATTCCTCCCAAGTTCCTCATTCACTCTCAAAATCTTAATTAGTTCTTCTTGTTGCGTTCATTCACACACACACACACACACACACATGCGTGCACTCACGCACACACGCACGCACACACAGAGCCTGATGAGATCATTAATTTTACTTGTGTGTATGGTGGTTTAAGCTCATCTTAACTCATACAGCACACTGTCTTTCCAAGCGAACATATTTAAGTCTTTGACTTACCAGCAACATAATTCTAAAAGAGCCAGGAGTTCCATTGGTAGAATCTGCGATTTACTTTAGGGAGGCAGGGAATGTACCCCAAGCCAGTAAAATAATAAATAAGCGTGCCAGTATGTAATTTACAGCATTTTGAAGCTACTAACTTTGAGATTTTAGAAGGCAAAGGTAACAGCTGTCGAACTGTTTTCAAGTAAAACTTAACAATTGTATTCTACACAGTTCTTGACTGAAATCCGTCATTTTGAAAACCGCTGGTTTTTTTCACTCCTTTGCCTTCAAAGCCTAGTTCTACTTCCTGTTTCCTGTTCCTGGCTGTTGGTTCCTGTGTTTTTGGTTCATCTTTCTTATTTGCTGTTTCATAAAGCATTTGGAATTGGGCCTGGCACCAATTAAAATCTTTGGGCGGGTCTAACAAACTGACTAACCGTCCTTTCTAGCATTATTCTGTCATTCACTTACTGTACCTTACAGCTTCAAACATCAGTTAATAAATATGGTAGCCTCATAGCTAAAGCAGGAAGAAGAATGAGTGTCCAGGTATACATTGAGTAGTGTTTTTTCCATTTCCACAAATTATGGCAATTTTATTCTTATTCACCTTGAAACTTCCATATCATTTAAATAAATTGGCCATACAAAATGGGAATACAGAAGAGATGTACCGAATTTCTTTCGAGAGAGAAATTAATAAACACTTATAAAACGAGCACTTTAACAACCTCTCATACTATTCTATCCTACTGGCAAATCATTTATTATTTTTTTATGGTTAGAAATTCTGGAATGAAGCCTATGTCACAATAAAACTGGGAAAAGCCAGGGTAGAATTCTCCTTCAACATAAAGAAAGGAGTAGACTTATTTTAGTTTCTTTGAAAAAAAATTTTGTGAAAATTAGGTCTCCCAAGCTTTAGCCTAAAGGAAATGTTTTCTATCATACCGCTTGAAAATAGAAACATAAAGCAGGGGAAATAGGCACTGAAATAGAACCCAACAACTTAGTGCAATAAAGCATTGAGTTTGGTACTGTTACTAATTACGGGGGTGGCGGGGGGAAATGTACAAACTGCAAAAAAGAAAGCTGAAAACTGGAAAATGTTGGAGGGCAGGGCAGAAATAAAGAATTAAGAATTTGGCAGGCAAGCAAAACCATACACAGAAATACAGGAAAAACAAAAACGGTTTAAAATGTAGTCTTTTAAAGTATGCAAAAATCACTGTATTTAACAGAAGGATGTCTACATAGGACATAAATAGTAACTAACACTTGTATCATGCTTTAAAAACTTTTATTTCAATTGGTTTCATTACTTTTTAGAAGCAAAATCACTCTAGAAATACCAGTAAAAATGAACAACCCAGATTTTCTTTAACCCAGGCATTTTGCTTCTTTCTTGTTGTCATAGTCTCACGAGAGCCCACATTATCTGAGGCCAGGCACCAAGGACTGTGCCTTCACATAATGAAGCGGTCATTTTTGTCCCTAAAATGTGACTTTTTCTTGCAAAGCAAAATATGATTTCATCTTCAAGTTTGTAGAAGAATTTTGTAAAATATTTTTAAAAGTGTTGAATCCCTTTGGATTGTGATGAGGTCTTTTTTTTTCTTTTTTTAAACAATCTGCTTGTCTTTTGTTGCAAATGAACAAGATAAGCTGGATAATGCCTAGAGTCACATACATTAGGGTAACATATTTTTTTAAGTGTTGAAGACAGTTTAAACTAAGCATAGTGGCTCAGACCTATAATCTCAGTACTGAGCAGCCTGTGGAAGCCAAATGAACACAAGTTCAAGGTCATCTTTAGCTGTGGGTTTGAGGTCAACCTGGACTTCAAGAAACCCTGTTGCAACCAATCAACCAATCGATCAACCAACCATGACACATACATTAAAACCAGGCATAGTGCACACACCTCTAATCCAACATTCAGGAGGCAAAGCTCATAGGATCTCTGTGAGATCAAGGCTGGAGAACTGACTTGGTAAGAGTCTGAGATTGATTCCCAAGCATCCAAGACTGAGGACTCACAGGTGCCAGTGATGTGGGCACCTGTCCTCTCATGTACATGCCTTCACACAGGGACAAACAAACATAGTTTAAAAGAAAACACACACACACACACATACATATATATATAAACGTGTGTATATATATATATATATATACGTTTGCAAAGATACACACACACACAGTATCTTGATTTTGCCTACAATATCAGTTGCCATTTGGTAATATTGTTATCAAGTTAAACTATTTGATGCTCAGAACATGACTGTACTAAGAACAGTCTTACTGCTTGTGTGGATTCTTATTTTCTACAAGCATTCCCTCCCTCCCCACCCAAGAAATATTTTCTCCTTGACCCTCTTGAGTCCTCTCTCTATTAGAACCTTCTTAGAGACAGTGAAGTCTGTGGTATGAAAGGTCTTCTTGTTTCCTGTAATTTAGTCTTTTAAAAATACAGTTCAATTTCCAATCACCTCTGTATCACTGTGATAGTAAACAAATTCTTATTCGGTAGATGTAAATGCAAGTACTGATTTACTTCAATAGTTTTTATTATTAGACTAAAAATAGTGATAAGCAAAGCAGATTGTCTCTGCAGTCTCTGAGAAGCAGCACCTCTGGGTTTAGGCAATTAACCCCTCCCTGCTTCCTTTCTTTAACAGACTAGAAAGATTTCCAGACCCCTTTTCATCATAATGACCTCTCCCCCATATTCTTTACATTTTATCAAAAAATCCATGTTAGTTGCTGGTTTAGGCATGGAAGGTATGTAAATCATTAGGTCAAAATTCTCTGATCTATAGGTAAATCCTAATCTAGGTATTATTTAAATTAAGTGACACACCCATTTGTGCATAGCAACTAGACCCCCATTAACTAGAGACTTAAATGATTTTAGCCTTAGAACAAGAAAGAACCTATCATCATTAGATACTCATTTATTTATAATTAACATAATAATAATAATTTTGAAGAAGGAGG